AGCCTTTTAAAAGAGCAAAGATTTTCTATCAAAGAAAAATCTAATTTTCTCTCATTGTTGTGTCGCTCATATCTTTTCTTTTTTGTCTTTATTGATCAACAACGACATCAAATTTAATATTAGTTGTCGACCGGCAGTATTTTTTATTATCTTTTTCTTTTCTATATTGTATCTCTATTTTCTTTTGATTTTGATTTTCAATAAATCTGCATTTATAACACGTTTTCTTATGCTTTTTGGCATAGTTTTTGATTGTTTGGTTGTTTTTTCATTTATCTTTTTTTAAGAGTTGATTTGACATCGCCAAGATTTATCAAGATGGCGCTTATCTGATATCTTATTGATCTTCCCTGCTTTGGACCCTGAGATTGGATTTGGATACCCAATTTGTGTTCGTTGATAGCTTTTCACGTCGCTTGAGTCTGATTTGTAATTTGTTGGTGGTCTTTCAATAGCTTGATCCTTTTTTGCATTTTGTTTGTCAATACTATTAGATCTGTTTGTATCTATATTTGTTCGAGCTTCTTAATTAGATTTTTAATCTTTCATTCTATAGTCCTTATGTGATCTTAAGTTGCTAGTTTTGTTTCAATGATTATAGGAAAATTTCCTAATTAGGTGGTTAATTTACGATTGTAATTGTAAATCTTTATTATAATTTGAGATATTTCTTATTTTGAATAAAATTAGTTTTTCTTTCAAAAAAATAGCCCTTTAAAAGTGAGAATATAAATTAATTGAATACAATTTTATGATTTTAGTTAATTCTTATTACTCTAAAAAGGAAAAAGGATTTAGATAATTCTCAAGTTATTGAAAAATTACTTAAATTTTTCATGATTTTAACATTCAGTTGATTTTTAATTGAAAAAAAAATTGACCGTTAATTTTAAGGATTGACTGATAGTTATTAAACATTTGCTCATATAATCCTTAGAGAAGAGCGACTCCATGATTATATTATAAGTGATAATAACTCATAGCGGAGGATCCAGAATTTTAAGGATGGTGTTTAAAATTTTAATTTTATTTTTTAAAAATAATGGGTATGCAAAATTTTTCTTTTTTTCTTTTTTCCTTAACACATAAGTTAAATTTAATCATTTTCTTAAAATAATGGGGATGCAGTTGGCCCTTACCAGGGCTTAATGCATCCGCCCATGACGACACGTATCAAAATTGTTAAATGTTGATAATTTTTATATAAAAATATGGTGAAAATAATTTTTAAATAAAAGTGATGACATGGATTTATTGTTTTATTGTGGATATTCATAATATGAATTATTTTACTATAAAAACTGTGTTCACTATTATATTAAATTTATAATATTGGACTAAATGAGGTATGAAATGTTACTCTAGTGAAGAATCATTAAAATCGAGGTTGAGGACTAATTTGTAAAGATTATATAGTATGAAGAGAAGATACTAATTTTCTTAAAAAAAAAGATTAAACATGAAATTATGGATATTCTTGTTCATAAGTAATTATTAATTATGTTTTTATTCGATTTGGATCTATAAGAACCAATTTTAAAATAAGATAAAATTTGAGCACTAAAGTGTAGTTTTCCCAAATTTTAATTATGAATAGTTGAGACTTTAGTTCATTTGACAGTTAGAGAATTACATTAGTTATAGATTAAGGGGTAAAGTTGAAAATAACATGATACTAATATATTCATTGAAAAAAATATAAAAAAGTTAATTTCAACCTAAGGAGCTTAACAATGAATGGCTTGATATAAGTCATTATCTAAAAGTAGAAACAACCTAATGAGATGTCTTTTAAACACAATTTTGTATGTTGACCATGTGTTAAAAATATGGAATAATGCATAAAAAAACATGTATAGTATGATAATTCATAACATGAGTTATTTGGAATATAATACGATTGAATCATGCTCATGGTTTAAAATAATACTGCAATTCATATATATGATGAGAAATGAAATGAACTATTAATGAGTATAATACGATTTATTTGTGATCATATATATATATATATATATATATATATTATGTATACAATAATGTAGATATAAAGATAAGGTTATGAAAAAATGCTACACGAAAGCGAAGATGAGCAAAACTCAACTTGATTCGGAAAAAAAAAATCAAAATTTTTGACTCGACTTAAAAAAATAATTTTTTTTACTCAACTCAATGCTAAAAGAATGTCGACTAAATTTTTTAAATTTGAGTCGCTTTATAAAATAAAACTTGAATAATTCAAAATTTTTAATAATTAGTGGGTTGATTTTCAAGATTGAGTCAAGTTCCTCAACTCCACATTATATATGTAACTCATATATAAAAAGATATGAATAAATATATATTTGTATTGCATATAGTTATAAAAAAAAACCCGTTTAAATTATAATCAAATAGTATCATAACATTATAAATATTCATAATTAAATTTAAACATAAACTCAAATAACTTGAATTCACTCGAATTTCATGAACTTGGCTCAACTTGAAAAATTTTAAATAAAGTTTCAGTTGTAGAATAAGACTCATCAACGCGAATAACTCGAAAAAATTTTACTCGACTCGACCGAACGCTCACCCCTACATGAAAGCATGTGATAACCATGTATGATATGATATGGCATTATACAATATGGTATGTGAAGTTGTGAACATGGTATAAGAATATAAGTTTTACAAATTTATTTAATTATTGACTAAGTATATGAGGTGAAACTAGTTAAATACAATGACATGTCATATAATTTTTATAAAAAAAATATTTAATTATAATATTAATTCGGGTTTGAGTATATCTCAAGCTTAAATATTTTTGAGCTTAGACTTTTCTCTTTTTTTGGATTTAAGCCTTTTCAAGCTTAGGCTCATTTTATCACCACTATATATTAATTTGGTTGCCTCCTAATTTTCCAAAGCTTTATCCTGACTAATTCAACACAACTGATTTTGGTGAGTGAATCTTTTTGTAGGAATTTTTTTACATATACAATGACTCAAATTCGAGATATGCTTAAATAATATCACCTCTAATTTTAATCTATCGTCATATACCCTTAATTGTTTATATAAAAATTAATTAAAATTGATAAAAAAAAAGTAATTAAGAACATGTGATGGTAAAATACAATTAATTGTACAAAAACAAATCTAGTATAATATATCAAATAATAAATCTTAACAATATTACACTCTTATTGTGTAGGTAAACTATTAAATTGAAATAAACATTAGTACCAGAATACAAAAAAAAAAAAAATTATGTTTTAAAAGGAAGAGGAAATTAATTTGATAAGACAATTGATAGATTCTTTAAAAAGAAAAATGAAATGACATGTTAAATATATATTTTTTATATTTCTTTTTTGACTTTTATTTTTTATATTTCTTAAAGTCGATGTTATTTAATTTGTATGATATAAATTATAAGCTCATTCATAATTTGAATAATAATATAGTTTATATCTCTCAATCATGTGAGAGTATGTAAATAAATAATCTCTTGTATTAATTCTAAATTATATAAAAAAATATTGACAATTTGATTAGTTTTGCCCCTGAAAGTAACTAATAAGCATGAATATTAAGCATTATCAACTTGAAATTGTCAGATATTTAATATATAAACAAGAAGGATTTACTATAGCAATAATAATTAATTATGATTAGGGATAAGATTTTATAATAATTTTGGTTTGCCTACCAAACCTTCCAACTTAGTGATGAAGAAATGACTAAAACACAAGTATACATGTGAAAACAATTGACGTCCACCAAGGAAATCGATACACGTGTCGGCACCGCAACGATCCGCTCTCCATCCAATAAGAAAACAAAGACGCATAGAAAAAAATAAAACGAGTGTACGGGCAGCGTTTTAATAAACTAATATGCCGTATGCCTGTACGTCACACATACTACAGTGCTTTCCACTCCCCACACTGACAACTCTGAAAATCCTAGGATATTTTTTTCACCTTACTCGAATATGCCATTTTGGTACTCGCTCTATTGTAGCGACATCTGTTCTTATGAAATCTATCCCTCTTTTGCGACACCAACTTTAAATGAATAGTTGTTATTCCTTAAAACTTAAGTTCGGACAGAGTGAACATTTAATGTTAAATGATAGATAATTATTTATGAATAAATATTATCTTGTACTTATTTTAAATTAATATAAAATAGTTTTTTAATAAAAAACTTTGTTTTAGGGTAAATTATGTATTTAGTTGTCCATCTATTCTTTGGTCAAACAACTACTTTTTAAAAAAAATATATATATAATGTTACATTTTTGTTTTGTTCTAGTCACCCAACTATTTTTTTCCAAAAACATAACTAACATTACATTTTAATTTAATTTAGGTCACACACCATTAAAAGATAAACAAAAATGTTGATGTGGCATTTTTTTAAAATTTTCAAAGACATGATATTATTTATGATTATACACAAATATCACCGTTAATTTTTAACGACGAGTGATCAAAATGATATCAAAACTAAATATTATGTATAATTTTTATAAAAAATAGTTAGATGACTAAAACATAACAAAAGTAATAGTTGTGATACTGAATGTGTAATTTACAGTAAAAATAAACATAATTACTAACGTGTCATTTTTAAATATTTTTTCATGATGGCGGTTATTACCTTATGGTGACATACCATTATTATGGTTTTTTGTAAGATGAGTGATCAAAATGAAATTGTAAATTTAGATATAATTATAAAAAATATTTGAATGATCAAAACGAAATCTCAAGAATAGGTTGATGACTAGATTCGTAGTTTAGCCCTCTATTTTATTCACCCAGCAGAAGTCAGCGCGAAATGAGCGAGTAGCGAGATGTGTAGGCAGTGACGCGAGTAGACAAAATGACCTACAAGTGATTTCCAGATTGAAAACTGCCAAAGCGGTATTGAGCTCCATGTTTTGTGATCCTAAGAAGAGAGGTTTTAAGGCTAGAAAAACCGCTTTTGAAAACACTTTGCTGATTTCCTTATATAGGCATTTTCCAGAGAAAATAGGAAGAAAAGCCTTGCGTCTCTCCGTCCAACTCTTCATAATTAGCTTCAAAAACAAGTAAGTTTTTTGTCCTTTATTATTATTTCTCCGCAAATAAATTCACGATTCCCTTTTTCCACTTTGATTTGATTTGATTTCATTTGATCAACTTTTACTGTTCTTAGCATATCTGTTCATCTTGATTTTTGTTGTTGTTTCGGCGTTGATTTGATGAGTTTAACGGTCTGTAATCTGGAAAAAGACATTTAGGAATAGAGGAGAGAAATCCCTAATTTTGGGGGATGGGAAGAGGGAAGATAGCGATCCGACGAATAGAGAATTCAACAAACAGGCTAGTGACTTTCTCGAAGAGAAGGGGTGGGCTAATGAAGAAAGCAAGCGAATTATCCATCCTTTGTGATGCTGAAGTCGGATTGATCATCTTCTCCAACACTGCCAAGCTCTATGATTACGCCAGCTCCAGGTCAGATCCATTTTCTCTTCTTTTTCTATCATTCTCTTTGTTTTACAAATTAATTTATTTATTTTCCGAGAAAATATACGAGTGTTTCAGATTTACAAAGAGATAATCATGTAGGTCTCCTCTCTAACATGCACGTAAATTTTAATAGTTCTAAGATTAAAAAAAGAACACCCTTGAAGATATCGCATGTAGAGTATAAGCTGTTCTTAAATCTTTTGTTGCTTCATAAACCTAAAAGCAATGGGAATCCAAACCAAAACTGAAACCATATAAGAAAAAAGTGTATATGATCACCTGAATTCTTTGCTAAAATATCGTCTTTAAACTTTAGGAGCCCCTCATTTTTCTTCTTCTTTAGTAACACAATTACACTTATCCTCAATTAAAAGGGTTGCAAATGAATACAATTATACATATATTTAATTGGACAAATGATATTAATAGTTTGTAGACTTAACATTACCATGTTTTCGTCGAATTAGTGAAGTCAAGTGATTAATGATTTGTATTTCTTCACTTCTTATAAACTCTAAATTCTGGGCTTAAATAGCACGTTATTAAACATCATTACAATGTTTTTTTTTCTAATTTCTTTTTACTATTACTTTGCACCTTCCATTACCTGATACTTTTTTATGGTACATTTTACCTGATACTTTTTATATAGATGATATATATATATATATATATATATATATATATATATATATATTTCATCTATGTATAAGCCTAAGTTATTTTGGTATAAAAACTCGACGATTTTGCAATTTGATGGTATGTAACAAAATTTATCATTTGGAACAAACAGTGCTTATTAAGCGAACAAAGTAACAAAACTAGGCAAGTATATAACAAAGTTCCATCGAAATTCCAAAAACAAATTAAAACACCATAGGAATTAATGCAACGGACTAGAATAAAGGGGTTGTAGCATACAGATTCATAAGTAACATAAAATTACTACAAAATAACTATATATTTTTAATTATAAAATATTTTTAAATTATAAAAAAATTTGTTCATATCAATAAAAATTATAAAACGTTATGTGCTAGACTGGACTTTGAGCAAGCAAAATATGTTTTCTGATATCCTAAATTGATTTAATTCTACAATAAACAATTTGAATATGAAAATATTAAATTTAGATATTATAATGCAATATTGATATTACAAACAATATATAATTTTTTATAACAAAATAAAGATGTTTAACACTTAAAAATCACAAGTAAAGTGGGTTATGTAATTTATTTAAATGAATTAGAGTGCCATTATTGAAAAAATCTATGACTATTAAATAAAATAGTTAATAGTGTGCCTGTATATATATATTATTTTACATGCACTAAAATTGAAATTTTATACTATTTATTATAATTATTTAAAGTTTTATTCCTATTACGAGCAATTTAATTTAATGAGAATGTGATGCAAATATTAAATCAGTAGCATTAACGAGATTTAAAACTAAGGGTAAACTACACGGGCCAAAATGATTTTTTTAAAAGTTCAAAAACTTATATAATTTTTTTGAAAAACATATTTAAAATTTAAAATATATAAACATAAAAAATAAATATAAAAAACTAAAACTAAAAATTAAATTTTTAAAAATTTAAAATATATATCGATTAGAGTGATTGAAAATGTTTAATACTTAAAATATCAAAAGTAAAGTTGGTTATGTAATTTACTTAAATGAAATAGAGAACCATTACTAAAAAAATCTATACTATTAAATAAAATAATATATATATATATATATATATATTATTTTACATGCACTAAAAATGAAAGTTTATATTATATATTGAAATGATTTAAACTGTTACTCCTATTACAAGCCATTTAATTTATTGAGAATGTGATACAAACACTAAATCCGTAACATTAATGAGATTTAAAACTAATGATGTTAGTATTAAGTTTCTTATGTCAAATTATGAATTATATAAAATGAAATCAAACCGAAAAAACTTTATGATCAAACATAACTAACTAAACTTTTAAAATATTTATTCAAGAGCTAAAATTAAATTTGACGTATTTTGAGAGCTAGGCTTGCTAGCTAATCTTGTTTGAACCGAACCAGATTGATTAAATCTGCGTAACCAATCATGAAACCCATAAAATAAAGATTGAAACTTGTAAGTAATTTCCCATAAGAAAATATTTAAAAGGAAAATAATACGAAGTGGGTGAATTAAAAATATAAATTATGTGATGGGGAGAATTCAAGAAATGAATTTTCCAATTTTACATTAGTATAAACTTATTCTTCTCGTACGCATATATGAGTATTTGTATATGAAGCATCTCAAAATATGCTCAGCATATATCAGTATATCATTGGAGATGTATATTTGTCTTGTTAACGTAGTATTATGCATGGCCTTTCCATACAATAATAAGTCTTAGAATCTAATACGGAGTGCAAACTGTATACATGAAGAATGCAATAACTTTGCTTGAGTAGAGAAAATAAAGAAAACTCGGAGAACTGAATCTTCGCTGTACACGTCATTTCATATATACTTGCTTAGAGAGGTTGATGAATGGATGTATGCTTTTCTCCATCCTTTAGGCACAAGTGGAATGTACATTGCCGACGAGTTCTATGTTATAAATCCAACTTTATTTTAAATTTTCTCAAGTCGAATTTATGAAATTCTAGTTGACTAGAGTTTTTTAGCATTGATTTGAGTCAAAAAAATTAAATATTTTTTAAGTCGAGTTAAATTTTGCTCAGCCCTATGCATAATACTACTAAACAAGATACTCAAAAATTAATTTTCATTTTCATTTTTTTGAACATGAGAATAAAGGATTGATCCTCAAAATGTATAAAAGTTATAAAACTACACGAGAAAGATTTTTTTTGGTTATTAAATAAAATGATTTCATTTTAATTGTTAACTAACACACACACACATATCATTATATATTTTTTTGTGTAATTATTTTATCAAGCTAGTATAACTTTTGTTGTTGTTGAGAATCAAACTAGTATAACTTAACTCATAACACTAAAGTAAAAGATATGTGTTGTCTAAATAATTGAAATAAAATTAAGATAAAATTATAAATAAATACAGTTTAAGATGATAAATTAGTCTAAAAAGTCTATAATTGTACCTGTAAATTAGAGCACTTGTTTTATATAACAGAATAACTTGGTCTGCTGAAAATTTTCTCCATTCGTGATTTGTCTTCTTAAATTTAGTGAAAGCAATACTTTGATTTCTATGCCACTTTCAAAGACAAACCCACTGGAGCCCCTATTGGCAGTCCACTGTCCAACCGATTTGCGGCCAGTAGTCACTCTATTTCTATTAGAAAATTTGCTGAAGATGATGACGTTTCAAGCAATCATTGAACAAACATCTCATTATCTTATCAAATGAACATACAAGAGAGTATAATGGCAACTAAAGATTTAAAGAAGATGAAAGAATAAATGCTTGTGTATTTTTTTTTTCATTAAACGATGATAAAACCCTTGTTCAAGATTCAACTTAGTTTTTAAGTTTATAACTGTTACGTCTAGTCATGCTACAGCACTTCAGGAAAGTGAACTCTCAACTTTTTCTAGTTTAGCTGGGGTGGAAGAAGTTACATATAACTGTAGCTTGATATACAATAGGTACATAGTTTACAATCTCTGGTTATGAAGATGAGGATTGAAACAGTAGCCCATGACCTAAGGTTCCCGAAAGATACTGTAGAATACATATAATTGCTTTCCAATGTTTGGGTAGAGGCTTATGCGTCAACTGATTTACCTTGTTTACAACAAAATATATGCCAATGTTGTCCTGATTATATTAGAGGGAAATTTTTTTAAATTTTAGGAAATAATAAATTTATAAACTCTCACGGCACGAAAACAAATTTTAAATAGAAAATGCATAGAAAAATATAAGATATATAGTAATTTTAAATTTTTAGGGGTAACTTCTTCCACACTCTCCTTTGTTCCATTCCCGCTCATGATCATTAGGGTTTGCGTAGGTGTTGCCCTAACATATGAGTTTTTTTAGTAGATTAAACAGTTGAGGATCTAGAAATATTTTAGAATAAGTACATATAATAATAATAGAAATTTTTCATATGGGGTAGGCACAATAAAATTTTAGAATGAGCAACAACTAACATAAAAATTTTGGATTTTAGAGTGGGCATGTATCCATCCTAGAGCCCATTTTACATCCGCCACTCAGATTTTGCATATTGATGATATGTTATAGATTACATCCGCCATTGAGATTTTGCATATTGATAATATGTTATAGATTTCATCCGCCATTGAGATTTTGCATATTGATGATATGTTATAGATTTTATCATTTGGAACAAAAAGTGCTTATTAAGCAAACCACTTCATTTTCATTTTCTTAGAAAATAGAAAACAATGGAATCATGTTTGATTGTAAAATTAAAAAAATAATTTAAGTAAAATAAAAACAAAAATAAAAAAATATAAAAAAGATGTTTTGAGTATTTTCATTAATATTGTTATGAAAATTTTAAATTATAGGAAAAAACATATCTAAATTTTTGACTTAATTTATAGTTCAAATCCTTCTAACGACAATTTTTTAATTTAATGGTATCTAAAACCATCAAACTTTTTCAAAAAAATAAATATGGTACATCAACTTCTTTTTTTAATTCAATGTGCTCATTAAAGTGATTTTTAATAACTTAATTTTGTAGTTTTTTTATTTAATTTATTGAATAACTTAACAATCTCTGGTTATGAAGATGAGGATTGAAACAATAGCCCATGACCTACGGTTCCCGAAAGATACTGTACAGTACATATAATTGCTTATGTTTGGGTAGAGGCTATGCGTCAATCGTAGTTTGATTAGATAAGGGCAGACGTAAAATTTTATATTAGATGAAAAATTCTTAAAATTTTAGGAAATAAAAGATTTATAAAAATTTAAAGATGAAAACAAATTTTAAATAGAAAATATATAGAATGTTTTTAA